TCTACACCCTTAAAGGCAGTGAGTTCCAGATTCCCACCACCCACTAGTCATTGATCCTTCCAATGAGGGGAAAAGTTCCTTCCTGAATACCCTTTGCCCCTCATAATTTTTAATACATTAATCATGCCCGTGCTCCACCTCAGTCTCCTGTGCTCCAAAGAAAACCCAGTCTGCCCAATTTCTTTTCATAATTAAAACTCTGCAACCCAGACAACATCCTGATAAAACTTCTCTGCAACCTTTCCAGTTCAATCACATCCTCCAACAATGTGAATTTCAGAACTGCACACAGTACTCTAGCTGAATATGTATTTTCATTAGTTACGTTTTCCCCAGAATAAATTACCTCCTACTTTTCCAGATTAAATTGCATTTGCAACTTGGTGTTCTGCTAACTAACCAATTACTCCTTAAAGTCTGTCTTGTTGTTTGACCAGCCCCTACTTTTGTAGCATCAACAAATTTAAATAACATGGTCCCCATGTCAAATTCCAAATCATGTATTTATGTATATCATAAAACAGAGCTACAGTGACCGTGTATTTGTGTGCTCCTATATATTATATATGAATACAATATCTTGCAGACTCCTAGAAATATTACTTCCAATTCTTCCTATACATGCAACATTCATTTACCATACCTCTTTACTTCCTGTTGGCAAAACTTTGCAATCAGTGCTGATGCAGTTAATTTCATATGAGATGCCTTATGAAAATCAATTTGCATCACTTATCTATCAAATCAGTCACTTAAATAATCTTAAGTTTGTCAAATGTGACTTTCTTTTGAATGTTTTTTAAATTTTATTTCAAAATGATTATACACTCAGACTGTGTTGTCGGCTGACTTGCTATCCACAGGTCCATGGGCTTGCAACATTGGCCCCAGACCCATCTGCTTTTTCCCATTGTCCTCAATAAACTGATCGAGTGGTCCTTTGTGGTACATAGGAGTGTTATCCACAGTCTGTATTTCAATCCTTCACAGAATTTAACAACATGAAATTGAGGTTTCCTTAACATTATTATGGAAAGATTTAATAGATTGGTTTCATATAAAAAATTCAAAAACATAACCATTTTAAATAAGATAATTGTAGCTCTCACTATGCCTGTGTTCAAAACTTGTATATCACATTTAATTCAGAAGTATTCAGAATTCAGAAATACAGTTTTCTGTATAAATTCAGAAAACCAAAGTTTGAAAAGACAATGTTAAGTTTTTTGATTTTTTTTAAAAGCAAGCGTTACCTATTTATAAGCAAATCATCTGTTTTGAAGAATTAAACCTTGCAGCAAAGTACCCAGAATCATGCAGCTCTGAGTATCCTGGAAAAAAATCATGGAGAGGATATATGTTGGCAAATTTTGATAATAAACCTATTCCTTGGCTTGATTATAGAAACTGCTTTAGGTTGAGAGGCTAGTCAGTAAAATGTATTTTTGTATGAAATGATAAAGGATGGTGGCAAATTTGGGAATGAAAACTTTTACAGCTGAACAGACAAATTATTTTAAAATGGGTGCATTCCAAGATGAGCTCAGTGAAAGGCACCAAGTATGCAACTCTGAGCAGGATGCAATGTTCAAATGTTTGTACGAAGCAGCTGTTGACTGATTTGAGAAACATTGCATAGTAATCAAGATGGTGTGAAAGTTTTAAGCAAAATGTCTTATAGTATAAGTGCTATTGGACAGAAGTCAAGAGAAGCTGACAGGAAAATGAAAAAAAATGAGCCAAAATAGTGTAGCCAGGAGGAGCTAAGACAAGAACCAACAGGACTGAAACAAACCAAACATGAATCCACTTTAAGATGTGAGAAGTTAGTAAGAATTGTCTCTGGAGACTGTTTCTGAATGAAATGAATTTTGGCAAACAGCTCTTTTGTGCAGAGTACTGTAGGGTCAGATAGTGCTAGAGGACAGAGATGAAGTTACCATGGTCTTAACAGACCATAGAGCTGCTCTCTCATTAAAGATTTTTGAGAACTGGCGATGGTCAACCTGACAACCTGAGGGTCACCACACCTCAGACGAGAGGAGAAGTTGAGAAGGAGTAATCTCATGGTAACCTAAGTCCCGTGTGGGATTTGAATCCGCATTGTTGACATCTGTGTCACAAACCAGCTGTCCAGCCAACTAAGTTAAATCAATCCACATAAGCCAATGTTCAGTAGACTATTGATGGGTGTAATAGCAAAGAGATATTTGAATGTTGATGCATTTTTTTAAAGATGACACAGATACAGAAATATTGCAGAAAAATACAAATGGAATTCTTGGCGCTTGATGGGGGAGAGGGCCCAGTCAAAGAAGACTTAGATGAAAGTGTGGGGACCTCTTGGGAGCTTTTAAATTTGTTTGGTATAGTCTTTAAACAGGAATTTCATTTAAGAAGGAACAGACCACAATAAAGTTGAACTAATGGTGTTATGCACACAGTGAAAAATTTACTTGACCACCCTCCAGTAGTTTGGGAGGTGGTCCCTTGCAGCTTTCATGTAGCTTTTCAATAATTTGTCAGTTAAACTCTGATCATTTCATTTCTATTGTTTGTATGAGAATCTGGTTCTAAATAGGTTTATTGACCCATTTATTATGTATCTATATAGTGACTTCTGCTTATTTCCTCTTGAAGCTGACCAAAGTGTAACAGTAACACATTTCATAAAAAAGGCTGCTTCCTACTGAAGTAGGCAAAATGTTTGATCACAAGCACCCATGTGGTTTGCAAGTTGTCAAACATTAAATAAGTGTGTTCTCTGACCTTAATTTCATAAAATGAAAATCTCCACTCCCTGGCTTGCACAGTGCAGTCAGGTTTGCCAGTGATAGCAGTCAGTAGAGAGGGACGTGGATCACTGATTTTTGTTTTTGAGGTATTGACCCCATTTGTGACACAGACGTCTTTCAGTTACTAATGAGAAAATGCCAACTCTTGCCTTTTTGACAGGTGTTTCCTATCTAACAGAATTGGCTTGGTGGAGTGGAACTGTTGGAAGTAAGTGCCAATTTTAAACTTCTCATCCTCATTTGCAAATCCTTCCATGGCCTCTCCCCTCACTATTTGTCTAACCTGTACCAGGCCTATAAGCATTGTGATTTTTGACCTTTTGCACATCCTAAATTTTATTTGTACCAGCTGCCTAGGCCCTGGGTTTTGGAATTCCATCCCTAAATCTTTCGGGCTGTCTTTCCTTATTTAATGTTCATTAACTCTTAAGCAAGCTTTTATTCATCTCTCTGAATATCTGCTATGGTGCGATATCAAAATTTTGATAGTACTCCTTCCTTGCTACATTTTGTTATATTGAAGTCAGTACATAGATGCAAGTTGGTGTGTCATCTTTTTCAGCTGCCTTACATTTTAAACTTTTAGAACCATAAAATCCTATGAGTGGGAGCAGGCTATTTGGCTTATTGAGTCAACACTGATCATCCGAAGAGCATCTCACCCAGACCCAACCCCATTGCTATTACCCTGCATTTCCCAAAGCCAAGCCATCTAACCTGCATATCTTTGGACTGTGGGAGGAAACCAGACCAATCCCCACGCGGACATGGGGAGAACATGCAAACTCCACACAGATAGTCACCCAAGGCTGGAGTTGAACCTGGGTCCCTGGCATTATGAGACAGCAGTACTAACCACTTAACCACTATGCTGCCTCCTTTCACAGACTGGCTAACTTCGGATAACGTTCAATTTGCACCTTGGCACTTCGATGCGTTGTTTGAATGGCGATTAGTTATTGATATGTTAAACCTTCGAGTTGAGTGGATTCATTGAATGTCGTCTCTCACCTGCAGTACATTGAGAGCAACTGTTTTGTGAGGGAATGGTTATGAAAGGGTTAATTTTGAAAATTGCGTGGGGCTCCAACCTGATGCTGTCGTACTGACTAAGTGGGGAAAGGTAGCATCTTGTAGAGAGAAAAATCTTTGATCATGTGGTTTTTTGCCACAGTGAGTTTGGGTTCAAGATAGATTGATTGAGGAGAAGACAAAGTCAAGAACTATCCGTAACACCACAAGAAATACTAACAGCAGTAGGTTGTTTGGCCCCTCGAGCCTGCTCCACTATTCAATAGGATCGTGGATAATCTGACACTCTTCACATCTGCTTTCCTGTGTTTCTACCGTAACCTTGGATTTCCTCTACTGATCAAGATCTAGCTTTCTCGGCCTTAAATATATATAAGGACTCTGTTTCCACAGCTCTTTGTGATAAGGTATTCCAAAGACTCTCAACCTTTTGAGAGAAGAAATTCCTCCTCATCTCTATCTTAAATTGACACTTTTTTTTTATTCTGAGTCTACGCCTTCTGGCCCTAGACTTTCCCAGGAGGGGAAACATCCTCTCAGCCTGTCTTCAGGTTTAGACTACAAGCTAACACTTAATTTACCATGTATTTAGTATTAATATATAATTATAGATATACCAGGCTCTGATCTTACATTAGGTGAGGACTAATTATCTCAGTTTTCTCTTGAGACTCTTTCTAGTGCAGCAAGTTCATAGAATCATAGAATCCCTACAGTGTGGAAGCAGGCCATTCAGCTTGAAAATTCTCATAGAGATGGAATAGAAGCTATTGGTTTCCATTTTGAATGAGAGTGAATGCCTCCATTGATGAAAATAATGACATTGGTGGACTTGGACTCCAACTATGAGGTTTACCTGCCTGGTGAGATATGTGCAGAGGGACCTACATACGTTGGCAGATGCTCTCTCCAGAGTAACTGTAGTAAGCCTCTAATAAACAGAATCATAAGAGTCGTTCAGCACCGAAGCAGACTTTTAAGTCAAACCAGTCCACACCAACCATGTTCCCAAACTAAACCAGCCCCATCTGCCTGTGTTTGGCCATTATTCCTCCAAACTTGTCCTATTCATGAACTTCTCCAAATGTCTTTTAAATGTTGTAACTGTACCTGCATCCACCAATATTTCTCGCAGTTCGTTCCACACATGAACTACTCCCTGTGTAAAAATAAAAAGTTGTTCTTCTGGTCTTTTTTTAAAATCTTTTTCCTGTCGTCTTAAAAATATGTCCCCTGGTTTTGAATTCTTCCACCCCTAGGGCAAAGACCCTTGTTATTCACCCTATCTATGCCCCTCATGATTTTATAAACCTCAACCTGTAAACCTCCTACTCTCCAGTGAAAAATGTCCCAGACTATCTAGCCTCTCTTTGTAATTCAAACCCTCCATTGCTGGCAACATCCTGATAAATTGTTTCTGAACCCCCTCCAATTTACTAATATCCTTCCTACAGCAGGGTGACCAGAACTGTACACACTACTCCAATAGAAGCTTCACCAACATCTTGTACAACCTCAACATGACATCCCAACTCCTATTCTCAAAGGTCTGAGCAAGCTTGCTAAATGGCTGTTTAATATCTACCAATGATGAAAATTTCAAAGAATAATGTACTTGAACCCCTAGGTCTCTGTTCTACAAGACTATCCAGGGCCCTACCATTAATTGTGTAAGTTTGTTTGTATTACCAAAATCTCACATTTATCCAAGTTACATTCCATGTGCCATTCCTCAGCCCATTGACTCAATTGATCAAGATCTCTTTGTAATCTTAGCTAACCTTCTTCACTGTCCACTATACCACCAATTTTGGTGTCATCTGCAAACTTGCTAACCATGTCTGCCATATTCTCATCCAAGTCATTTATACAAATGACACATAAAAATGGACCCAGTACCAATCCCAATGGAACACTGCTAGTCACAGGCTTCCAGTCCTAAAAACAATCCTCCATCCACAACCACACTTTGTCTCCTACCGTAAAGCCAATTTTGTATCAATTAGCAAGCTCACTCTGAATCCCATGTGATCTAACTGTACTAATTAGTATATCATGCAGAACTTTGTCAAAGGCTTTACTAAAGTCCAATTAAACAATGTCTACCACTCTGTCCTCGTCAACCTTTTTGGTTATTAACCATTATTATGTTTCATTACTTCCATTAAAAATAACTCAATCAAGTTTGTGAGACATGATTTTCCTCACACAAAACCATGCTGATATCCCTAATCAATCCTTGCCTCTCCAAATGCATGCAAATCCTATCTGATGATGTCTTGTAAAAACAAATTGTTTCCAGAAACTGATATTACGCTAACACGTTTGTTTATGAAATTGAGTGTAGTAACAAGCCAAAATAGACTCAAACAACAGGAATAGAAGAAGGACTGAGAATGTGTTGCCATTCACTAGTATTGTGACAAAGATTGGCCAGGCCAGAGGACCAATGGGTTGGTCATGAAGACATATCTTGAGCATTTAAAACATTTCATGACCAAGGATGACTTACTGGTGTTGGATTAAAGTCGGATCATTCCAGATTCTCTCCAGGAAAATATCCTAGATGAGATGCACCAGGGGGACTTGAGATCACCAAGAGCAGAGCCAGGATTGGATGATCAGTGTGGTGGCTCGGGATCTCAAAGGAGATTGAGGACTTTCATCTGTACTAGGTATTACAGTCTAAAGATACCAGGTAGGCAATTTAGGAAAGACATGAGGAACTTCCTCATCCAGAGATTGGTGAGCCTATCAAATTCTCTACCACAGAAAACAGTTGAAGCCAAAACCTTGAGTGTTTTCACAAAGGAGTCAGTTGTAGTTCTTGGGGCTAAGGGGATCAAAGAGTACGGGGACAAAGCAGGAACACAGTACTTAGCTGGATTATCAGTCATGATTATATTGAATAGTGGAGCAGGCTGAAAGGGCCAAATGGCCTACTCTTGCTATTTTGTATGTTTCTATGTGAAACTTGCTATATTCACAAGCCTGAGCAGTGATAACTACTGATATCCACACTCTCCCTACCAGGTGATGGGAACAGGTGGCAGTGGCCTATTTATGTTTGAATTATTCTTGTTTGCTGTTGGCTGCTTGGCCAGTAAGTAGAAGTGAAAATATTATGTACCGCAATCACCGACGTAACTGTCGGGGCCTTGCATGAAATCTGCATAAGGTCCCTTGTGTGGTCATATCCGAGAATAGATCACAGTTGCTAATGAGTCTTTCAGCCTATTTGCAGCTAGTTCTGGATTTGAACACGTAACCAGCTCGACAAGATATCCACAGTCGAATGGAAACTTTTGGCTTATATAACCTTGTTAAGCTACAGGCCGATGACACTCAATTGTGCCTTTGTTGCAATCAAAATTGCTGATGGACGGAAAATGGAAGACTCAACTCCCTGTCTAGTCAAAGTGGTTGACTTCACAGTTAAACCCTTACGATTTTAATAATACATGCAAGAAAGAACAGTCTTTCTGGGAGCAAAGATCTAGCCACGATAGTAGACATCACTGTGGGCACTCTTTGAAGCGAAACAGGTGTGAACGTGGGATACAGGAAGGGGGTGGGTGGGGGCGGAAGTTGGGAGACCATCTCAGGGTAGATGTGTAAGTTCATGATTCTGAAAGGATCGATGGTGGCACCTGCAATAGTTTCTACCTAGTCTGATGTCCTCAGGATTATGGTGAGGAAAAGGCAGAACATCGTAGGATCTTGCAGGTCTCCCAAAAATCTTAGTAACAATATCTAACCGACTAAATGTAACTTGTACCTGATTCCTCACACACACACACACACACACAAAGTTGCATCTTGTCTAAGATGAGTCTCTTCTCATTTGAGACTCATTCGTGTCTTTTTTCCTTCACCACTGTGAACCAAATAGGCCCATGGCTCTAGTCAAGGAAGGAGGGTGGTGGCAGAAAATTACTCCAACTGCAAGTCCATAGTGGTTAACATCGCAGCACTTGGCAACAGCAATGACAATGGAGGAACTCCTGATACGTGACTGTGTGTGCTTTTCAATACTGGCTCCGGCTGAAGTCACATTATTCGTGAAAGGGGTAAAAGCAAATAATGGATATCAAAAATAATGGAAAGTGGTGGAGAGTGACCCTGTCAACTTTTGTGGCAAAAATGACAAGTTAATGCTTTGTCATAAGCTTTCAGATTGGATAAAGGAGGTTTTTTTTTTAACAGAGGAACAAAGTGAAGAAAGAAAGCTCAAATCAAAAGAAAATATCTGTAGACTGACTTGTAATATGCTTAAAAGGAAAGCAGGAGCTGGTCCATGGATGAAAGCTCTTCAGTTGTCAACCTTCTGCCCATCTTTTAAGATGCTGCTGAAAACCATCTCCTTTGAACAGATCTGCCTTAGTATCTCATGTGTAGGTGTCACATGATCGTGCTCCTGTGAAACACCTTGGGACTCGATTGCTATCTCAAAGGTGCTACATAAATATGAGATATTGTTACTCCTACACCAGCTGAGGTCACCATGAAGGTCCTACCTTTTCAACCTCTCCCCTCATCTGAGGCTTGGTGACCCTTGAGTTCAACCACCACCAGATGCCTCTCTCTAATGAGAGAGCAGTCGTGTTGTCAGAGGGTCATTGAGTTGTACAGCACGGAAACAGACCCTTTAGTCCAACTCGTCCATGCCAACCAAATATCCTAATTGATCTTGTCCCTTTTGCCAGTATTTGGCCGTTATCCCTCGGAACCCTTCCTATTCATGTATTCATCCAGATGGCATAATTGTACCCGCCTCCACCACTTCTTCTGGTAGCTCATTCCATACATGCACTACCCTCTGTGTGGAAAAAGTTGCCCCTCAAGTCCATTTTAAATCTTTCCTGTCTCGCGCCCTCTGGGACTATGCTGACTTGACCTTTTATCCTGATGTTAAGCACAGTTCAAGCTGAAAAAAACCATAGTAAACCATAGAGAGATGTGCAGAATATGCGCACAGCTAAGTTGTGGGTGATGGCTTGGATTGTTTGTGTTTGTTTTTGAAAATGTACAATTTTTATCATAAGATACTTTGGGAGTTTTCTTTAGTTCTGTGTTGGATTTGGCGTTTTCCTCTGAGGTTGACCATATTTGATTTTGTTTTATTTATTGTCATGTGTATTTTGTTACAAAATACATTGAAATGTTGTATAGTGTCGCCAATCTCTGGCACCATCTTAAAACACAGAAAAATAAACCAAAACATAGAATATAGAGGCAGAAAAATAAAGAGACAGTGTTCAACTTTACAATCCTTCTTGTCAAGTTCTCTGCCATGGGCCTTGTGTCCAGGCACAAGCCCCCTTTGCTGTGCTGTGACAAAAGTTGCCACTATGAGTCCTCACTGGACCCTGCCAGTGCTGATGCCACTGATACTGCCAGGTACCACACCAGCCCAAACTTGACTCCACCACCACCATGAGTCGACTTCGGGCCCAACTCACTGATGCTGCCAATGCCGCAGGGTTTTGAACTGGGCCCAAATGCACCTCTGCTACCACTTCCATGAATCCACGGTGGGCCCACTCGCCGAATGCCATGAGTCCGCGCCGTGCCTACTCACCGATGCTGTCACCGCAACCGAGCTCCTCAACAAGAGGTGAGTTCAATCGAAGAGGGGAAAAGGGGGAATAAAAGAGAAAAGAGAGGGAAAGGAAAGAAAAGGCAGATGGAACGGGATGAGCCCCAGGCTTGGAAGCCCTGCTCGACTGCAGTGTTACCAAAAAAACATCCTGAGGTTGATCTATGAAGATTAATGTGGTGTCTGTGGTGTCACAAACTGTTGCTGTGATTCTGCATCACCCTCATACCCTTTGAAATTATTCTTGTTTAGTTTTGGTAGAAGTAGTTAAATGCTTCTTTTGTTTTGAAACCATCATGAATGAACTAATATTGATTTTCTTCTTGTTACAGTGGGACTGGGTCAAATAGGAAACTTCTTCGCTTACAACACTGCCCCTGCTGCATTGGTAACACCACTAGGAGCCCTCGGTGTCCCATTTGGGTACTATTTTTCAGTTGCAGCATATTTATTTATTGTTCTATGGCATGGAAATTGGTTCTCATTGTGGCCAATTGCAGGCCTGTGTCACTACCCTGGATGGTATGAGTTCACAACTTTACCTGTATCAATAGTTCTCAGTGTCTCATGCCTCTTCTAAAGCACCATTTTTAAAAAGTTACTTCTTTGAATAAACCTGTCCTTGTGATAGGTATCAAATGATCATACTGCTGGGGAGACTATTGATAGCTTAATGATGCTAAACTAATATAAACTATCAATAACTGTTATGAACCATTCTTAAGTTTTCTTATTTACTGATTTGGTTACATCTTCTCTGAAGGACAGCTTGGAGCAAGAATCTCAGTGTTTCCAGAGTTAGAGCACCGTAATCTTCATAGAATCACAATCTAATGTTTAAAATATCAAATATTACAATCCAGTCTCGAACTGTAATTAGAGATAATTCTAAGTATTAATCCAATGGAACAGTGTATGACTGAAGAACTGAAGTAGCAGCTGTTTTGAATTTAGCAGCTGTTTTGAATTCTTCAAATAATTTGGCAGGAATTGATTTGCTATGGGTCCTGATGTAGTAATTGTTTGTTCAAGTGCAGGTCATTAAATGTGCCTTTTCTTTCACCCACACACTCCTTTTCTACCCTGGCCTTCTTTCTAGGTCACTATTGGCTTCCTATATGTTGCAGGAGAAGCTGAACCTATTAGGAAAACTAGGATGTCTACTCAGCTGTGCAGGTTCAATTGTGCTGCTTATTCACGCTCCCACAACAGAGAATGTAACATCAAGGTTACAACTAGAAGAGAAGTTGGCAGACCCAGGTAAATCTGAGTAAATGTAATATTGTGACATTCATGTGAATTTATGTGGATGGAAGGGCTGTAATGCTGATCACTAAAGCACCCTAGTCCCTCTTTGACCTAACTCAGTGGGTGGCACAATTGTTAGCACTGCTGCCTCACAGTGCCAGGGACCCGGGTTCGATTCCACCCTCAGACAACTGTCTGTGTGAAGTTTATGCATTCTCCCCGTGTCTGCGTGGGTTTCCTGCAGGTGCTCTGGTTTCCTCCAACAGTCTAAAGTTGCGCAGGTTAGGCAGATTGGCCATGTTAAATTGCCCATAGTGTTCCAGGGATGGGTGGAGTAGCCATGAGAAATGCAGGGTTACGGGGATCATGTAGAAGAGGGTGGGTCTGGGGGGGATGTGGACTTGAGGGGCTGAATGGCCTGCTTCCACACTGCAGATTCTATGATTCTATTCTAACTCCTCCATCAATTAACTACCATTTCTTCCTCTTCTGAATCTCTTTTTCAATCCGGCTTTAATTCCTCATAAACTTTAGCTTTGAACAATAGCTTTTCATAGAAAAACTTGGTCAAGTTTGCTTTTGGAAAGCCCCTTGTTGACAGGTTTTCCCTGATTCATTTAAGCCAAACGTATGAGGTTGGTCAGGTAAGCTCTTTCCCTTCACCATTCACAGGTGTCAGCTGATAGTTACACAGCTAATCCCTACTCTGATAATTTGTTAAATTCTTTCAACTGAGACTGGAGACAATGGGTTAATGGTTATGACACTGGACGAGTAATCTAGAGACCAAAGCTAATGATCTTGGGACACCGGGTTCAAATTCCACCTTGACAGCTAGTGAAATTTAAATTACATAAAGTCTGGAATTGAAAGCTAATGGTAACCATGAAAGTATCGAGCCAACACAGTGTGGAGCTGGAGGAACACATCAGGTCAGGCAGCATCAGAGGAGCAGGAAAGTCAACGTTTGGGTCCAGACTCTTCTTCAGAACTGGAGTTCGACTTTCCCACTCCTCTGATGCTGCCTGACCTGATGTGTTCCTCCAGCTCCACACTGTGTTGACTCTGACTCCAGCATCTGCAGTTCTTGAAAGTATTGTTGATTTGTCATTAAAAACCAATTTGGTTGATTTGTGTTGTTAGAAATCTGCTATTCCTCCCTGACCTGGCCTACATGTGATTCTAGATCCCCCTTGAATGTGGTTGACTCTTCACAGATCTCTGAAATAACCAAGCAAGCCATTCCAAGGGCAGTTGGGATGGGCAACAAATACTGGAGTTGCCTGTGGTGCCCATATCCCATCAGAGATTTTTTTAAATAAAATGACTTAATACCATTAGATTTCTAGTGGTTTGGGTATCATCATCATCTTTTTTAAAAGTGGTATTATGTTAGTGTGTTTTTCAATCTATTGTGACCTTGGCAATATTCAACACCATTATTTAAAAAAAAATTCAGCTCTCCTCCCTAATCTTACTTGGTATCTTGGGTAAGTACCTTTTGTTTTGAATACATTTAACCTATGACTTGCATTCTGATTTTCTTCATCTCCTAGCTTCACAGTGTTCTGTACTTTGGCTGTGGTCCTTTTAACTAGATCTCAAAGTTGAAACAAGCTGTAATGTTTAGTTGCTTTGTGTAGTGTAATTAATGTGAAATCCTGATTAGGAAGTGCTGAAGAAACAACATGGGGCAAGTAGGTGCATTGCTGTGTTTTTGTTCAAGTAATGTTTGTTTTTACTCACTTCTGTATCTGTTTAATATTACAGTGGTTGCATCTTCCACTAAAGGATGGAAAATTCAGGCTTGACTAAGCTTGCATGTTTCTATTGCATTTCCTGATGTGTGGTTGAGAGCAGCCAAACTGTCCTTAGTCTGAGAATCGTGCATTTCAGGGAAAGGGAAATGAAATTGTAGATCCGTATAGCATACAAACATACAAGTCGGGAGTGACATTAGCAGTTTGGCCTCTCAAGCCTCTCCTGCCATTTAATAAATTATGGCTGACCTGATTGTAACCTGAACTCCACTTTTCCATTGACTTATGGTAGCCTGTAACCCCCTTGCTTGCCAAAAATCTATAACACAATAAGGTGACCATTACTGTACACAGTATTCCAGATGTAGTCTCACATGTATAACTGAAGCATAACCTCCATACTTCTTTTTAGCCTCCCTCCACAATAAAAAATACCACTCTATTAATTGTCCTAATTACTTGCTGTACTTTCATGCCAACTTTATGACTCGTGCACTGGACACATGGGCCCCTCTGCAGACTCTCACCATTTAGATAATACACTTTAATACTCTTCTCACCAAAATGTACAGGGGCACATTTTCCCAAATTATCTTCCATTTCCCAGAAGTTTGCTCACTGACTTACCTTATCTATATTCTTTTTTTATAACCTCTTGTCACAACTTACTGGTCAACCTATCTTTGTGACATCAGCAAACTTAGTGAGCATACCTTCAGTCCCTTCATCCAAATCATGTATACAAATTCTAAGCAGTTGAGGCCCCAGCACTGATCCCTGTGGAATGCCACTCATTGCATCTTGACACCCAGAACAGAGCAAGCCACTAATACAAGAACAAAATACTGCGGGTGCTGGAAATCCAAATTGAAAACAAAATACTCAGCAGTCTGGCAGAATCCGTGGAGAGAGAAATAGAATTAATCTCTAATGTAGAATCACTGCCCTGAAACATTGACTCCATTTCTGTCTCCACAGATGATTTGGAGGTGCCGGTGTTGGACTGGGGTGAACAAAGTCAGAAGTCACACACTACCAGGTTATATCCCCTTCGTTAGGGGCTGCACTCCGAAAGCTTGTGATTTCATATAACCTGGTATCGTGTGACTTCTGACTCTCTCCACACATACTGAGTATTTTGAGCTGTGTCTTTTGCTTTTGGTCCTTGTTACAGACCAAGATCACTTCATGCATTTGTGCCAGTGCCAGAACGATTAATGTCAATAACATGGTCTGACGTGACGCCAGTAGTTGTTTTATAATGGAAGCCTGGGGTTGAGGAAAGTGGTCAATTTAAAAAGCACCTGTTTTATTTTTTGACGCATCTTTCATAATTAATCTTTTACAGTGTTTCTTGGTTACATCTGCATTATTTTCGCACTTCTCATCCTGCTTATTTTCTGGATCGCACCCTCCCATGGCTCCACCAACATCCTGGTTTACATTGGTATTTGTTCATTACTGGGGAGCTTTACTGTGCCCAGCAGTAAAGGCATTGGTTTAGCAGCTCAAGACGCATTTAGTGATAATCCATCAAGTCAAAGAGCCCTTTGCCTCTTTGTCATCCTGCTGGTAACATTGGTTTGCAGTATTCTTATTCAATTTATATACATTAACAAGGCTTTGCAATACTTTGACTCATCCATTTTTAGTGCAATATACTATGTGGTTTTCACAACTTTGGTCATTCTGGCATCTGCTATCCTCTTTCGAGAGTGGAGTGATGTTGGGTTTGTAGATTTTCTTGGAATGCTGTGTGGATTTATCACTGTTTCGGTGGGAATCATACTCTTGCAGGTTTTCAAGGAATTCAGCATCTCTGCCAGTGACTTAAGAAAAATCACTTCAAAGAAACACTGAAACATAAGAATGTACAGACTCTTTCATAAGTTGTGCTTCAGATTTTGAACAGATAATGCTTCTACAAAAGTGATGATTGAGGATGTTTAGAAGACGTATTGGAAATTGCAACATATGTATTTTTTTTTTCCCATATTGGCCCCATATCAAATGCGCTTCTCACCCCACTGTTCACTACTTCCTATCCTTCACTTGTTCATTTGAGAAAATCTTGAGAAGCCTACTCCTGAAGGTAGAGCAGTTTCAGGCTCTACAGAAACAATAAGATATATTGTTTAAAGAGGAAAAGGAAAAGAGATTGAATTTAGATTGTGTTTTTCACAGCTTCATGAGGTCCGAAGATGCTTTAAAATACATTTTATATTTTAGTCACTGTTGCAAAAAAATGTGGCAGGTAGTTTACACAGAACAAACTCCCCACAAACAGTACTATGATGTTGACCAGAATTCTCTTTGTGCTTAAATATTGGTCAATTCACCAGTGATAACTTTCTTTCTCCTCTTTGAAATAGTGGCATGAAATCTTTGTCTATCTGAGTGAGCAGTTCAGGCCTTAATGTTAACATCTTGCAAAGTACAGCATTTGGTGCATGGCCCTAAAGTGTCAGCCTTCTGACTCAGCAGTAAGTGTGATAGCCATTGAGTCATGGATGGCGAGTGCTGATCCTGGTCATGTCCTCCTGCCCCTACCCCCGCCCATCTCTCTATTATTTTTCACAGGGAAGTAAAAGCCTATCAGCTTAGCAACTGCCCACATGCTTTACTAACAGTCTGAGCGAGAGATCACATGGAGAGACCCATATGCTGTTACTTTGCTATTGACACTGCATTTGGGCTGTTTCCAGAGGCAACTGTCATGAAAGAAGTTGCTTGGAATTGTGATGCAACAGAAGCTTGGGTAATGCTACACACTAATAAAAACTTAGAAGCAATTATTTTGTGTCGGTAATTCATATATAATTTTTTTACTCTTTGTACTTTTTTTTTAATCTGGTTGCAAAATAGTTACTGCTTCATTTTGAAAACTGAAATCTTATTGTGACTCTTTTAATTTCCTTCATGCACTAAGCAGCAGCAATGGATTGAATTTTTGAGCACTGAATTATCTTCAGCAAACGAGCTGAGGCATCATTAGGGATATTGGGAAACTTTGCAACATAACATGAAGAGTACAATTCTAATCTGGGTATAGGAACAGAGGGACATGAGTGCAGTTATACATACATCATTGAGAGTGGCCCGAGAGGCGGCGAGAGCAGTTAAATAAATATACTGTATCCTGGGGCTTTATTAATAGGGGCATGAGAGAAAGGAGTTAGTGCTGAATTTGTGTAAGACCCCTGTTAGACTGTGTACAGATCTGAGTACCACACTATAGGAAGACTGAAAGGATTGGAGAGAGGGCAGTTTGCAAGAATGGTTCCAGCAATGAGAAATTTCAGCTATGAGGGTAGATTGGATATATTTAGAAGGTCTTCCTTGGAAAGAAGAAGGCTAAGAGGAGATCAAGTAAAAGTTTTCAAAATCACAGTGGAGCTGGACAGAGTTGATGGGAGAAACTGTTTCCACTCCTAAAAGGATCATGAACAAGGGGGCACAGATTTATGGTCATTGGCAGAAGAAGTAACTGGAATGTGAGAAACATTTTCAGTGAGTTAACAAGGTGTAGAGCTGGATGAACACAGCAGGCCAAGCAGCATCAGAGGAGCAGGAAAGCTGACATTTCGGGCCTAGAAGTGCTTGGAAGTGTGATAGAGGCAGGTTCAAATAAGTCATTCCAGAGAGCAATGTTTGTATTTAATAATCATCTGATGTGCAAGGGAATGGGAAAAAGGCAGGAAAATGGCATCAAGTCCTGGTGCTTATTTGAACAATTGATTCATGATGGACCAAATAGCCTGCTTTCTGCAGTGTAACGCTTTTGTGATTCTGTAAACTCGGTCAGATATTGCATTTGCATGGCTCCCAGTGAGTGTCATACTGTAAATGTTCATTAATGGAAATATAACACAGGATTAAACTAAACATTAAAAGTCCTCAAACCTTCAATGAAACAATAAAATTTGGTGTGTGGCTATAATTAGGGAGCTAAAATGACTTTGCATGCATTTCTTTTAAATAAAATTTGTAGATTTTTAAAGAATAAATATAAGTTGCTTGTGTATATTTCAACAGAGTATTGTTGCAGCACATGGTGAAAATGTCTACATTCATGTCTCCTTTTTAGAAATATAACTCCACTTGGAATTGAAATGCTTAAATGTAGAATAATGAAAAGAACTAGGTTTAAGAAACTCTTAAACACTCCTGGATAATTACAGTTCAGAGAAAGGTCCATATTTATTTAAGGCTTAGCATTATAAGGTTAAACCCTTTCTTGGTAGAGGTGATACTTCTACAATTGTCTTCATGAGGGATTGATATTATTTAATTAGGTCGCATTCTAAAGAAAATTTGAAAACAACACACAAATAAGGGAAAATCTTAAAGTATCCATATACTTTTCAAATCAAAGGACGAGCTTAGAGTTGGAATTAATTGGTTTAAATTTCTATTTGGGACATACCATGTGCACTGCATTGATATGGAGACAAACTGCCAATTGGTGGTTTTTCTTTGTTTTGGATTATATCTCCAGCATTCCTCACACAAACTGGCCAACTCCAATTAGGGCTAGAGCAGAAAGGCAGAATTTGACAGATACAAAGAGCAATCAGAAATCTGGAGGGTCTCTTAGTTGTCGTGAATGTATGTAAATGTAGAGGCCTGAAGAAATCTCTGTGGAAAGTAGCAGGAACATTGAGGAGAATCAAAGTGAATTTCTGAGAGTTGTGGCACATCATGTTTTTGTCCCAGGGACAACTGAGAAGCACTTGAGATCCAGGAAAATGCAAGGAAACTCTTAGGTGGAAGTAAAAATAGAACAGGGAGTGTTCTGCTGAGATTTTTGGTCTTAAAGTATAAGTATAACCTTTTATCAGAACAGGCTGAATGAAAGGTCACCAACCTGATGTCTTCCGATGAAAGATTGCAGATTTGAAATGTTAACGGTCTCACTCTCTTCCACCCCTACCTCTTGCTCACTATCTTTCCAGCAGATGCTGTCAGTTCTGCTGAGTGTTTCCAGCATTTTATGTTCTTGTTCTAGATTTCCAGTATCTGTTTATTTTGCTTTTGTTTCAAATTCACAATTTCTGAATTTAAAAAAGCTTGAGTTACTTTTATGATATGATTGCAGCAATAGCTCCCCTGAATGTATAAATTGAAGTCCGTTGTTGATTATTTGTCTGATCTATGAAGGTTAAGATGCACTGAATGAAGGTCATCCTGACTTCTGAAAATAAATTAAATAATCTTTTGAAGCTTTAGCACAGTTTACTTTGTTTCAGTTGGGTGAGTGCATGAACAATTTGTTTTACAGCTTTTTTAAAAATAAGTGGTTTTCAAAATGATGGATGTGAATAACTTTGTTTTATTAGCACAACACATTGGCTTTATTGACCCTTCGTGTTTTGAAAATTCAGAAGTGGCACTAAGTTTGTTTACTTCCTAAGAATTTTCTACTGAGTTGGCATTTCTGTTTTCCCCCCAACCTTTTTGTTCAACTACAACTGTGGCATTCAAGATGTGATCAAATATTTAATATTCTGAAGTAATGGATGTGTAATTGTATTAATGATCCTGCTTGAAGTGAGGGAATTCTAGTTGGATTTAATTGTTTTATCTAGTTTGTATTAAGCTTGTATTAAACTTGCAGCATGTTAAATGAATGTCTTGAACTTGCAAATTACACTGGAGTTTTGTGATGATAAGAAAATTTTCTGCTGCTGAAATTAGAGAACTGTATTGCAAAATTGGAAAGTGTGGTGACTTATTGAACTGATGTAGTTATAATTTTAATCCATCTTGAAAGTTTGAATTATTCTGCATCAGGGCTGGAGATGTGTGAAACATTTCAATGTGACAAAGTAATTTGAAATTTTATCTGATATGTGCATACATAATGTGTGTTTTATGGCATAAATAGAAAAGTACCTTTTTGTATATTTTTCCTATGTACAGATTTAGAATGCCATATTTTAACCTGCATGCAGTAATAAAGACTAATATGCATAATCTATGTTGACAATGAGTTCTTTCCATTACGAGAAACGAGGAGCAGGAGTAGGCCATTTGGCCCTTTAGTAAGATCATGGCTGATCTCAGTGCCATATTTCTGCTTTCTGACCATACCCCTTCATGCCCTTACTATCTAAAAATTTACCAACTTCTTTCTTGAATATATTCAGTGACTTGGCCTCCATAACCTTTGTGGTAGTGAATTCCACAGATTGATCACCCTTGGAGAAGAAATGTTTCTTCATCTGTGTCCTAAATGGCATACTTTACAACCTGAGATGGTGACCTCTGGTTCTAGAGTCCCCAACCTGGGGAAACATCCTTCTTACATCTGGACTGTCTAGCCCTGTTAGAATTTTGTGTTTCAATCAGAGCCCTTTTCATCCTTCAAAGCTGCAGTGAATACAGGCACAATCAAACCAATCTCTCTTCATAGAGCAGTCCTTCCAACGTCAGTCGTAAACCTTTGCTTCACACCCTCTATGGCAAGAAAATTCACTCTTTTTTTTTTTCAGTAGAGAGAGCAAAACAGCACACAATACTCCAGATGCATACTTAGCAAGGCTCATTATAACTGCAGTAAGACATTCTTGCTTCTGAAGTCCAATCCTTTTGCAATGAAGGCTAACATACCATTTGCCTTACTAATTGATTGCTGCACCTGCCTGTTTACTTTTACCGAGGTATACAAGGACACCCAGATTCATTTATACACGTTTCCCAATATCTCACCATGAAATAATACTCCACCTTTCTGCTCTCACATATGACTTCACATTTATCCATGTTTTACTGCATCTGCCATATGTTTGTCTGTACACTCATTTGGATCACCCTAAAACCTCCTTGCAACCATTTTACAACTGTCAATCATACCTAGTTTTGTGTCATCAGCAAACTTGGAAATATTCCATTTTGTCCCCTTATCCAAGTCATTTATGCATGTGTAGTTGCAGCACACTAGTAGTCAGTGCCTGACACCTGGAAAAAGACCCATTTATTCCCACTCTGTTTCCTGTCTGTCAATCAATTCTCAATCCATGCCTGTATATCACCCTCTATCTCATGTGCTTTAATTTTGCTCACTAGCATCTTATTGGGATCGTAACAAAAGTTGTCTTGAAATCCAAATAAGTTTTATTGCAGAGGAGAAAGTGTTAAACCACTTGTTTTGGTATTTTCAGTTTCTTACTCAGTACTTGCGTTTGGATTTTCAGCTATTTGTATCAGCCATTGTTTTATGACTATCAAAGTTAATTCATTAAAGTATAAAGAATCCTTGAGTAAATAACAGGTTTTATATAATGTATCAATGTATCTAACTATTAAACTGACACTTCAAATTGGGAATTAGATTCTATTGTTTAAAGTTGAATAGGGATGGTACTATTGACTCTGGGGATGAGATTTACAGTTGCCCCAGAATGGAAAGACAGTTTAGGATACATTTCTTTATTCATAGAATTGAGAGATTAAAAATGTATTTCTTTAGCAGGAAATGATGGAGACAATCGTGGTAGGGTTGGTTCCTGTTCTTGCCTGTGTTGTCCAGCAGAGGGCACTGAAAAATACTTACAAGTGGAACCCTGACTGCAAAAATATTTGACTTGTACAATCAGTTTACTTTGCTTCTGCATCGCTTGAAAATATGGTAGCTATTCTGTGCCTGCAATATACCCAGCTACGTAAGCAGACAATACAAAGCTGAGGAAGGGTCACCAGACCCGAAACATTAACTCTGACTTTTCCTTCACAGATGCTGCCAGATCTGCTGAGCTTTTCAAGCAACATCTGTTTTTGTTCCTAATACAAAGCTGCACCTGTTTTTGCACAATTATATGTTTTGCTTTTTTTTAAAAAAAAAGTTTGATGCTACCTTTTTAACATTTTGATTTGATTAATTACTGTGGTGTGTACTGAGATACAGTGAAAAGCATTGTCTTACATGCTTCACAGGTAGATTGTTGTGTACAAGTGCATCAGGGTAACAGAAGAGTGCTGGATACAGTGTTACAGCTGCTGAGAAGATGACAGATGAACATATTAAAGAGGTCCCTTCCAAAGTCTGATGACAGCATGCTAGTGGGTGGGTCTGACCCTTGGAATTCTTCTTACTCATTGGAATATATCTCTGCAGTATACAAGTAGCCTTTGATTAATGGCTTAGTTACATTCCTGAAAATCACTCCATTAAGCAAAACAGCATTATACAAAGTAGGTATTCCCACAGAAACCTATGAAAATGTTCAAGTTATGTTCTTGGAACATCGAACTGGTACAGTATACAAACACAAACTTAATACAAAACAGCACAATAGAGACACAAATATGTGACATAAAGTAGATCTTTTGATGTTTCTTGTCTCTTACACGATTGCTTGGGAAGTTCAATTTTATTGTTTAAAGTTGAATAAGGATGGTACTATTTACTCTGGGGATGAAATGGAAGGCTATGGACAGCTTTTAAAAACTTATCTAGCTTGAATTGAGGCAAGCATTGGCCAAAACAAGCTGAACAAACAGGAAATTGCCCAAGGACACAAGGGCTTGGCATGTATTTATTTCCCTGCTGTGGTGGGAGTCATGAGAACTGTGGTATCTACATTAGCCAGCTCCCTGGTCAGCTCCAGAATGCTCTGTTCTCTGAATATTTTCAGATAGTTTCTATGAACTCCTCATCGTTTGTCAGTGTTCAGGGATAGAAGAGTATGACTGTGTGTGAAGGAGTTAAGTGGGACTCAGAAAACAGGACAGCCTTGTATTTATTCAAATGTCACAAACTAACTCATGGCACTGTGATACAGGAAGCCACTCCAGACTGGGGAATAGGAGGGAATGTAGTGGTTGCAGGGGTCAGTCTGTTGAATGGGATTGACAGTCTTCTGTACAGAGAGAAAGTCCAGATGATTGAGTTGACTGCCTAAGGTAGATCAGGATATCTGCTCAAAGCTGCAGAGGAA